AATCCCTGGGTCCCTTGGGCCCCCTTCCCCCAGGATTAAATTCCTGGGAAGATAGCTGGAACTCTCTGGGAAGCCTAGGTCCCAGGGGTAGAGGGCTATGACCTTGAATCTTTCCAACGCCCCCTCCTCCAACCGCACAACTCCGGACGGCTGGGGAAGGTGGGGGGCGGTGTTGAGAGGAGGGGGAGGCGCCGTGGTGGGGAAAGCTGCCTGTCCACAGTGCTCCTTGCCCGCCCCCCACACCAGCTGTCTCGACAGGTGAGTCAGGAAGACAAAGGCCCCCCTTCCCCTAGCTGCCGCGCCCCCTCCCTCCCTAGGGCCGCGCAGGTGGGGGAGAGGGGCCGCCCTTCTGGCCAGAGGCCGGGGAGCCGCCCTCGGCTCATAGCGCTCGCTCGGTCCTAGGCACAGCCTGTTTCAAGCAAATTGTAGGTAGGGAGCGGCGGGGGAGGGGAGTCCCAAGCAGACCCTCAAGGCTGCGTCTGGGTCCGTAGATCCGTCCGCACCAACCTCCTCCACAGGATGAGCCCCCCAAATTTAGGTGGTTAAGTACCCCCGAAGTTAAGGAGAAGATCCCTCTTGGGAAGACTTCTTACAGCGCCACGTAAAAGGGGACCCAGAAAACCAAGATCCACGTCTTAATCTCTCCTCCAGGTCCCAGGGACACCCCAAACTGGCCCCCTACAATCCCTCTCGGGGCCAGGTTGAGATTTGGGGAAGTCCGAGCCCTGCCTAAATTCTGGCCTCCTTGCGGGCAGTATCTACCAACTTGGAGGTTCTCTGAAAAAGTCTTTTAAAAATTCGGGAGTCCTCGGAGCGCCCCCAAATCTGAGGGATCCTAGAAGAACCTCACCGGCACCACCTGGAGCCTTGGGACTCAAGGGGAAAGTGGTCAATACCTGAAGCTCGTCCAAGGGGGCTCGGCCTCAAATTCGAGGCTCCCAGTGTCCTGTCCCCAAATTCCAGCCTGGAGCAAGCTGGGGGGAGGGGGACAAAGGCGGGGCGGGAGCCCGCGCCGGACGGGGAAGGATCTGGAGGCAATTCGTGGCTCACCTCATGGCTGCTGGGCGGGCGGGCGGAGCGCCCACGGGGTAGGTGCTCCCGGGGCGCCCCTAGCTCGAGGTTCAGGGGTTCAGGGCTGGCTCCAGGTTCTGCTCAGTCTCCCCCAGGGTCCCGCCCCATAGAGTCCGGCTTCCTGGGGGGAACGTGGACAGGGCCGGGGCGGGTCCTCAGGCGCCTCCTCCCTCTGGGGTTGTGATCCGGGGTCCCTCCTGCAGAAAGGGGGTGCGGCGTCCACTCCCCGGCGCGCCCCCTCGGCCGGCGGCGGCTACAATGTTACTCTTACTACTGTACTTCTCTTCGCTACATTTCGTTCCAAAATTCCACTCCCCACACCCACAATGCCCCGCGCCTTAAAGGGGCCGCGGACATCTCCAGGAGGTAGGGTTGGGAGGTGCAGGGTGCTTAACAGGGCGACGCGGAACCTTAGACTTCCGCTATTTCCCTCTTCCCCAATGTTACTGCATAGCAATGCACTCTGGGGGGGTCACCCCCAAATTAGGGGGGAAGCTTGGTAGAGGGGAAGGGATCCTTCCTTGATCCTTAGTTTACTCCCACGATGGAAATTCTTATGGGAATCTGAATGGGGGTACCATTTCTTCTGATTTCCCCGTCATCTTCTCCATTTCTTTACATTCTACTTAATTTGGGGGGCGAGGAGGACCCTCTGGTTAAGCATAGATTCTCTCAAATGTTCTCCCTTAAATCCTCCTGCCTTCGGACCCCGCAACGTCTCTCTTCTCTGCCAATTTATGAAGGGTTACTAAAGGGTGAATTCCCTCACCCCCTGCAGAGGAGGGGGATGGGTGGGGAGGGGCCCCACCCCTCTCACTGTCCCCCCACCCCCCGCCCGCCCTGGGAAGGTGAGGAGGAAGTGGGCCGAGGGGGTGCGGCCGGCCGCTGACTCACAGCCGCAGGGTGTGTGTGTGTGTGTGGCGGAGGGGGGAGAGGGTGCGTCGCTGGACCTGGGTGGAAATGGGACTCCCGGTCCCCGTATGGATAAGGTCCCTGGCCCCTTCCCGATGCACGCTCCGCCGTGACTCAGTTTCGTCTGAGGAGGATGGCGGGATCATCCAGCAATCGGAGGACACGGATGCGGGGAGACCCCTCCCAGAGTGCCGGCTCCTGCGAGCCCCCTCCCCCACGCGCCAGGGACTCGACTGAGTCCCTACACCCTCCCAGGCTTCCGCAGCGGGTCCTGCCGGCTCCGCCCCACGTGACGTCACCAATATGGTCACGCCCCTCCCGTAGAGCGCCACCTGGCCTGGATAAGATGCCGAAGGCAGGGGCAGGAGTCTGGGAAATCATCAGTTTGACGTTTAGAAATGGGTAAACTGAGGCCTGCCTCGTGCCTGAGCCACCAGAATTCCAGTGGTGCTTGGGTGCAAGGTATGAGTGTAAAACCAACTACTCTCAGGGTTCAACCTTCCCAGCCTTTTTCCAAGTGGAATCCGCTGCCTGCGTGCCTGCGTCCTGAGCTCCTTCACTTCGTTTTCCTAGGCCATGCTCTGACATTGTTTTCCAAAGAGCTGAGTAATCCTCTCCCCTTCTCCACCCCACTCTGGGAGACCTTGAACCGTTGATTTACAGTAGGTTATAATTGTTTGTCTGTATGTCTCCTCAGGTAGTGAGGTCTTTGGGGGCAGAGGTAGATTTGATTGATTTTGGGGTCTTACTAACCCAGCCAGGCCCAGAACAGCAGCTCAACACACATTTATCTAGCTGTATGAGAACCCCTGTTCTGTGTAATCATGGACAAGTCCTTACTCCTCTCTGGGTCTCAGCTTTCCCATCTGTGAAATAGGAGGGGAGGACTTCTGTGTGCCTTTAAAAATGTAAAACTCATTCTTAGCTCAAGTGCCACACAAAAGATGTAGCAGACTCTTGTATTAGAGAAACTCTTGCATATGGACACAGGAGCCTGATCAAGGATCTTTATGGCAGCAGTGACGTAAGGGCAAGAAATTGAAAACAGCTTAAATGTCCATCAAGAGGATGATGAATGGTGAAACCATTGTCTGAAGTGTCTACGCAGCAGCTAAAAAGAATGAGATGTGCAAGTGGCATGAAAGAATTCTCCAACACATTACTGAGTAAAAAACAAACAAACCAAAGAACCCAGACTGCCAAATGATACATAGGGTATGAAAAAAATCAAGGAAACACCTAAGGTACCATATATATGTGTGTGTACATGCCCGATAAAAGATCTGAAAAAAAAATCACTCCGACTCATTGCAGGGGTGTCCACTGGGGACAGGGGATGCGATCATGGAGTTTGATGGTTGTAATCTCAAGCCTCACCTTGAAAATGTCAAATTCAGTCCTGCCTCTAGGCTTTCACACTGACTGTTCCTTTCACCTTGGGACACTCTTCCCTGGGGTTTTGCATGGTTGGCTACTTCTGTGTTAGGTTCCTTCTCAGTGGTCCCCTCTTCATCCCCAGGTGGAAAATTGAGTGGCCGTGGGATGGGGGATCGAGAGGGACTTTTCATTTTATACCATTTTGTGCCCTTTAAATTTCAAACCAAGTGAACTTATTACCCGTTCGAAAAATAAATAATGTAAAAAACCAAAGTAGTTCCCCTAGACATTGACTTATCACGTCCCCTAGTTTCATTTTCTTTGAGACACTTGTCAGTGTCTGAAATGACCTTATTTATGGGTTCCCTTGTTTACTGTCCCCCACCCCACCCCTCACACTAGGAGGTTTTGGGGGTAAGGAACCTCAGTGGGTCTCCTTAGTTGATGGCTGTGAGCAGGGCCTTGCAGACAGCAGGTGCCCAATATATAGTTGCCAAAGGACTGGGCAAATAATGTTTGTATTTCCCCCACCTCCGCAAGAAAAATGTATTTTGAATTATGTAATGAAAATTTAATCAAACTTCCCCCTACCTACCCCCAAACAGATAAAAAATGGAAAGGGAAGAGAAGGTTATTGAACTGGATGATTTCTCAGGGTCCATTCAGCTCTAAATATTTCAGAAACATTTGGTTTGGGGGGTGTTGTGCTTGGGGTTTTTTGGTGGGGGGCAGTCTAGCTGACGGGTGCAATTTCCCCTATCTCATAAGACTATGTGAGAGGGAAGTAGGAGAAAGGGAAATAAACATTCTGGGATTCCTCCATTGGCTTGCCTTCCTTCCGCTGGTCTGCACAGCCGAGGAAGGGGAGTTTTCTTCCTTTATTCTGTTGAGGCCCCAGTGGGGCAGAGGATCCCCAGAGGATGACAGCTGTGTACGTGTCAGGCTTCCAAGTCCAAGGCAGAGCTTGAAAGGGTGCCAGCGGGCTGCCCAGCCCCATTGTGCCCCTTCTGTAACATAAAATGTGGGAATAGGAACCCCTTACCTCTTTGCACTTACTCCCCTGTATTCTGGAAGCATCACTCCTATTTTCCTTTTGAGGAACCAGGATTCCTCATCTCTTAGTCCCTCAGTTTTGCCTGGTGTGAACCCCAAGCCCGAGCGCTGGGGGATGGGCCTGTGATCCTAGCCCAGCCAATCAGAGACAGTGACTGGTCAGGCACGTGATCTGGTGTGGCCAATGGGAACCAGCTCTGGAACCACAGCTGCAACTACCGGGAAACTGGCGCGCGCTCTCCAGTGGGGATTGTAGGCTCCTGGGATATGAGCCTGGAGCTGCAACTCTGCTATCTCAAGCGGAGACCCTGCCTGGGAATGAAGCCAACTCAGAGAAAATAAAACTAAGAGACGATTCCTGATGACATCATCCGACAACTGGAGCAGTCATGCCTTAAGTCTCTGAACTCTTCAATTTCATGGCCCAGGAAATTCCCTGGTTTGTTTTCTCAGGTTGAATAGGGGTTTCTGCCTTTCACAACACGAAAGAATCCTGACAAACACCTCCTTTAACTCTTGAGAAACTACCAACAATCCCCCTACCCCCCACCGCCTTCCTCCAATTGGTAATAACCAAACTTCCTTCTCTGCCCTGCAAAGGCTTTCAGGTTTCCTACTTCACATTTCCTCCCTGACTCCCACCCAATGCCTCAGTTTATCTGGTTTTGCCCACCACTTCTTTGGACATCTCCAAATAGGCTGTCTGTGCCCAACCTCTCTCATCTAAGACCCGGACCACCCTCAGAGATGTTATGGTGGTCTCTGCAGCGCAATCAGCCTTTGGTATGGGTCATCAACATTCCTTGAATTTTTTTGCCTTATTCTGGGATAGAGTGGGTGGTGTTTGGGATGATAGGGCTTCACAGAGCAATGTACAGGGTACATTTCTTGAAGGGCAAGCATAGTCTCTTCTCTGCTTCAGCATCCCCCCTCTCCCATCATGTCTAGCACAAATTTCAGGACCAGGAGTGAGAATTTATTAATGTATCAGGCAAGGCCCTTCTCCCCCTGGCCTCAATTTCCCCCTCACTTAAGGAGGTGGGGCAGTGTGAGGGGGCTGGATTACATGCTTCTAAGAGAAAGATTATGGAACACAGGGTCCTTACCACCCAGCGCTCTCCTGAGGCCTGGCAGAACTCAGAATACGCTTCAGCGATGACTGTGGCCCTGCAGAGCAAAGGAAGGCCCTCAGGAGGAGACCCTCCTCCCATTCCACCCTACCACCCCTCCTCTCATTCCACCCTACCCCACTCCAACCTACTTGCAGTAGAGCCCTCCCCCAGGAGGCAAATCTGGGATGTCCTCAGAGGCCAGAGTCCTGAAAACTGTGTTCAGGCTGGGAGGCTCCTGGGTAGAGGTACATAGCTCTGAGAAGGAGGCAAGAGTTACAGGGGTTCCCCTCCTTGGCGACCACCCCTTCTGCTGGGCTCCTGGCATCTGCTCACCTACAACCCTGTGTCCCAGAGCTGCGTCCAGTGCTAGCTCCTTCCTGATGGCCTCCTCACAAGGCCTGGGGCCCCCGGGAAGCAGACCAGGATGCAGGTCATGTTGTCCAGACTGCCCTGGAGAAGGTGGAGAAAAGAGGGCCTGGTGGGACACGGTTGGATGCCCTTGGATATAGAGTTTCCCAACACTCCCTGGGTTCTAGTGCCTCTTCACAATCTGGTTACATCCATTTCTCTCAAATCCCAACTTTCTGCCAGTCTAAACCAGGCCTCTCACAAGGACAAGCCCCTGAGACCATGCCCTCTCACTGTCCTAGCCCCACTCTATTAAAGAGAACCACTTCCCTTCACCAAAGCTCCTCCCACTTTGCTGTTTAGCTGCTCTTCTTTCAGCCACTGATCACACCTTAGGGCTCACTCCGAAGTCTAAGGGCTGTCCCATTCCAAAAAACCCACGCCCTTTCTCTTAAACCCCTCCCACTTACCTATCTAACACTACTACTCTCCCATCTTGCCACAAGCCTTCCCTCAGTCTCCGCGCTCTGCATATTTTGGCCCTGCCCCTTAGTGGAGCGCCACTCCTTTTCTAGTTTTATTCGTGCCTCTTCATCAAAGCTCCTCCCCCGCTAAAATCCCTTAGGTTCTTTCTTCAAAGATCTCAAGCCCCGCCCTCAGGACCTTGCACAGACACGTGTCCAACAGCTGCGCGCAGAGAAGCTCAGGAGCCAAGCCCAAGCAGAGGCGCGATGCCACCAGTTCCGCCAGGGCAGTGCCAGACATCGCGTCCCACACTCCATCAGAGGCCAGGAGCATGAACTCATCCTCGGCCTGGCGTGCCAGGGCGGTCACCTCAGGCTCCGCGGAAACGAGCTGCAGTTCAGGGGGCCTTCCTGGAGCCTCTTTGTAAGCAAAGTCTCCCAGTGCTCGCGATACTGCTAGAGAGCCCTCGAGGCGCCGGCGGAGGATGGTGCCGCCTGCGTCGTGGATGCGCTCGCGTTCCCTGGGATGGAGAGGCCGGTGGTCCTCGGTGCTGAAGGCCACGGCGCCGGCGCGACTCAGCACCGCGCGGGAGTCACCACAGTGCGCCAGGTACAGAAAGCGCGGGGAAACCAGCAATGCCACAGCGGTGGAGCCGCCGGGC